TCGTAATACATTCGTCTACATTATATAATGTAAAAGAGTAAAATAATGTGCACGAAATTCTTAGTCTCTAACTTATTTAACATGATAAGAATTAATACTGTATTTGTGTAAATAGCTTTCCAAATTCAGCTTTATAATTGCCCATTTTTTTTTAAGTATTCATATGGATATAGTATATTATCCTTAAGAGATAGACATATGCCATCTCAAACTTTTCTGTAGATCTATATAAGATAAATAATTCCAGCATACATCATTTTCTAACATCTCAAAGGGCTTATTTTTATCCGACACCTCAAATAAAAATTATGATATTTTAAATATCATTACATTTTAGCCAATATATATAAAAACTTGACAAATTATATAGTAAAATCTTCCTCGAGAACCACTCCATTGGTGTAAACAACATGAAAATCAGTGCTGAGTTTATCGTGAACAAACAGACAAACACGCTGCGGAAGACTGTTTTATTATATGTAGTGATAATGATTGGTACTAAAAGTTCATTTGTATGTATTTTATTTCCAAACACTCATTATTCTTTTAGAACTATTTGCAAGTTAACAACTTTGTCCACTTAACCCTTCAATTATAGACCTTAGGTAAAAACAAATGGTAAAAGCCTAATAGTAATAAGAATCTTCAAAATCTTTATAAAAAGTAAAGTAAAGTAACAGCCTATACATGTCCCACAGCTGGGCAAAGGCCTCCTTCATACAGAGGGTATCAGGGCTTAGTCCACCACGCGGCCCCACTGCCAATTGGCGTACTTCACATATCTTCCAAAAATATTTTTTTTTGTTATTATTTCAAAAACATCCAGGTTTCCTCACAAAAATTTTCCTTCACCACAAAAGAATGTGATAAGTCAACACTTAAAATTAAAACTTCATTGGTGCCAGCAGCGGGGACTGAATTCAGGTTGAATTAAAGGCGAGCGCCAGGACACTGAACTATCATGGCTTAAAATCTTTGTATTCCATAAAAAAATTTAAAGAAGGAATTGGTAACAATTGACAAAAGCAAAACTTTTTTGTTAAATAAAAATTATTAATTGTTTTAATACAGCATTAACACATTTTATATCAGTAGTATATAATAATAATAAAAAGGTTTATTTAATGTTAACAATAGCAATTTTTTCTCAAAGGATTTTAAAACATGCTTAGTTGTGGATCACCGGCGCCTGCTGTAGGTACTGAAGAACCCATAAGATACAGTTTACCAGGTCAACACCCTATGAAATATATTAGGTATATAAAATAAGTTGGTCTATTGTAGTGCATGTATCAGGATTAACCTAGATTACCATCCCTTTACCTTAGCCTACAATAAATCATAATTGAGCTTTGCAAAGAATACTTTATGATTGCATCTATTATTAACCACATACTTTTTTAAATTTTAAAATAGAAATAAAATGTTATGATTAACTACAGTTTGCATTTTTGGCTTGTTTGAAACTCTTATAAACATATTCTGGTACAAATTGGTATAATTGTTTTGTAAACTAGCAAAGAATACTTTATGATTTTGCATCTATTATTAACCACATACTTTTTTTAAATTTTAAAATAGAAATAAAATGTTATGATTAACTACAGTTTTCATTTTTAGCTTGTTTGAAACTCTTATAAACATATTCTGGTACAAATTGGTATAATTGTTTTGTAAACTAATAACTTGTGAATGTGAATTTAAAATGATTGTTTTGTCTGATTCTTTATTACATAAGTAAATTTTTGGACAAAGATTTATTTAAAACATACATTACTATTGACCTGTCCCAGCTCCTCATGAGTGTAATATATAATTGAATTTTAAACCTTTTTCTACTTTAGTATGCATGTTACTACATATTAACCTTCCACTGAATCACTTGATCTATTGCTGAAAACAGCAGAGGCCTCCTCTCTGTATAGAGGGTATCTATCATGGCACCTTTTTCAATTTTTATATAATATTCCTTATACAGCGTGTCGTTACAACCGCAACAATAAATGAACACATGTCTAACACTATTTGCTAATAATCATAGAAAATAAAAATGTTAGAAAAACCCATAATTAAAATAAAATATTTTGCAAACAAACTAAGTAAAACGAAACAAAGTTTATAAAAGCCTATACAACTAAAATTGACTGATTCATACATTCAGCGACTTTTTCATTTATTTACCACAGCGTCGCATTGCAACTCTCTCCTTCAAACAGTATGTTTTATCTCTTTTAAATTCATTCAACCCATTCATATGCATTGTGATCTTTACGAATGAACTGTATGTTGCAGTTTTATACGTAAGGGTGTTCTAAAATTGCTTGTTTTGGAAAATTTAATAACTCGGTAAATATTGATGTTTAAAGAACGTAAATATTCAATACAATTTTAAAAAGTTATCCTCTAGTCATTGTTTTAATCTACCACCATTTTGTAATGAGGTTCCTCTAACAGAGAAGAAACAGACGAAAGAAACTCGGTAGGTATCCATTCATCAGGGACAGGTCAATCATTTTTTTTCTCAAACAAAAATACATTGTTATACAATACATTTTTTTTAATTTAGAAACAGCTTGGGGATAGCCTAACTGGAATTTTGTTGTAGAAGCGTGTACACCATCCCATGAACGAGTTACTGACTCTATGAAGTCTAGTAACTGGCGTTACAAGCTTGTGTTTGTTCCTAGTGTTTACATTACATACATCAGTATTTTTATTAAAATTAATAATGTTCCTATATATATACTTTATATTTTCATATATATATTGAGAGGCCAAGGTTAAAATATTTATTTCTTTAAATTTCTCTCTCAGAGATACATTTAAATTTAGATTGTAAATTGCTCTTATGGGTCTCTTTTGCAAAATGAATATTGTTTCAACATCGGCTGCATGCCTCCATAGCAAAATACCATATGACATTATGCTATGGATATAACTAAAATAAACGATTCTAGCTGTATTTCAGCTGTATTATCAGTCAGACATCTTATTTTCCTTACAGCATATGCTGCAGAACTTAATCTGCTCGCAAGTTTGGAGATATGGGGGCCCCCTTGAAGCTTTGAATCAAAAGTTATTTCAAGAAACAAGAAACAGTGGTATCCACAAGGCCTAACTCGTCCCCATTTATAAGTACATTGGTACCACCCAAGCGTTTAATATTAGGTGTCGAAAATTTTATACATTTAGTTTTATTGCCATTTAAAAGTAAATTATTAGCATTAAACCAATGAACTATTTCTGACATAGCATAATTTACCTCGTCAAGTTTTACAATCCGTCGTTCGATTTTAAAGACTAATGAAGTATCATCGGCAAATAACACTCATGTTTTTTCCCTACTAAGTAGGGTAAATTTCATCATTCACATAAACGAGAAAAAGGACTGGGCCGAGAATCGAGCCTCGCGGAACTCCCATTGATATCATCGACCCAGAAGAACTAGCATCAGTAATTACAATTTTCTGAATTCTTTTACATAAATATGACTTAATCAAGTCAAGCGTGATTTTTAATGCCATAGTAGCGTAGTTTATATAAACTTACAATCATCATCATTTTGCAGACCATAATACGTAGTTCATTATAGTTTCAAATTCTACTGCAATCATATAGTATTCTGTCGCACAAATATTCAATGTGGTTCTTTAAGTTGATATATCTTTTTCATTTATGAACTGATTAAAATGAAACTAACACTAAATGTTAATTGAGATTTACTACAATGCATAACTGAAAGTTGCACCCAAATTGGTTAAGCCTTTTTTCTGAGATTAGTGCACACAGAAAAACAGACAAAAATTGTAACTATCATTGTTTTAGGTTCTACTGCTTTAATAAAGGCCCCCAATAATTGATTTTTCTTGAATATCTTCTCTAATGGTCCTTTAATTCAATATACTTGAGCAACCTGAGTATGATCCCTGGTGCCAGCACCGGGGATCAAAATTGTTAATTTCGGGAGTGAAATTGTTAATTTTAAGTGCTGACTTATAATGTGTTCAACAGTCCATCTGCCAATCTGCAGTGGAGCCGTGTGGTGGACTCATTCCTCATATCCTCTGTACAGAGGAGGCCGTTGCCCAGCATTGGGACATGTATAGGTAGTTACCTTTCTTTAATACTTCTGTTTGCCCGTTATAAAATGACCTTTATAAATTAACATGTACAAATTTTTCGACAGTTACATTTCATTTAGTACATTTTTCAACATCTAATAAGTTCTACTAACTGGAGGACAGTCAAGAGTTACCTGGTGTTCAATAATCTTTTATATCAACATTCGAAAAAATACACTACTATTATTTTAAATGTCACATTATAAGTGGTGTTCTTATTGTTTCAACCAAAATTTTCAAGCTTTTGATAACAGAATCCATGGTACGACATATTAGCATAATGGAGGGTAGTTTTAACAGTAACAATAAAATATAGTTTCACAAATTAATGCTTATATCTATGAGTATGATGACACTATGAAATTAACTTAAAAAAATAAAAAGATTTATTATATATAACTTATTAAAATCATGTACTTATGAAAAAAGTATTAAGTCAAGCACAAATTACATAAACATATAAGTTTTGTCGGTTGAAACGATTTTTTGATAGGTATTCGTAAAATAAATTATTGACCATGAGAAAGAAAAATCAGGCCTTTGATTACATATGATTCAAATCGTTAAGGAATTTTCTACCTTTGTAATTGGGGTTCGCAAATTGACCGCGACATCGTGTCAAGTCGATATAGATTACGCCATTAGATACCAAAATATTACAATAGATATCACTAAAGTACAAAAGAAAAGCGGATGTACTAGTGTATAGGGGTAAGTGAACGAAATATTTCTAGAAAGATCATTTTCTCGAACGTGTGAAAAGTATTTTCGATAATTAGTAATCAATCTTTTCTTGTTACTCATCGGCATTGCATATAATGTCAGATTTCAAAAGGCATGCGTAATGGAGTCAATCAAAAATGGAAATAATAAGAGTACCTGTCTATTAATTGATCCTCTGTTCCAGGCAGAGGATGGACCACGAAATGCATAGAAGACATTTCTGTAAGACGTTTCGTCTTCAGTTCTCAGTTGCTTTGTAATGTACACTTCAACATTTAGAGTTCACAACAATGTTACTATAACCAAAGGACACCACTATCTAAGAACTTCCTACAACCACCATATTTTATTTCTTGTGATTCCACTCGTTATCGGTTTTCGTTCTCAAATACATGTGAGTCGGTACATGACGAAAAAAGAAAGAAAATATCAACATGGCTTCTACGACTAAAATATTGGCTAAATTGGTATTTGAAGTTTTTTTTTCAGTGCTGCCAACATTAGATAGAATAGTAATTGAATAGAATAACGATTTTTCGTTCTTAAACAGCTGTAATAATAAATAATACAAGTTAATTTATGAAAAAAGTATTATGGCATAAATTATAAAATCTGTTACGATGATATATAAAAAAATTATGTGTGCGTGTGTGTGTATATATATATGCGCGTAAAGTTTCTCAAGCGTATTAAAAGAAAAATTACCAAAAATTTTTGCCCCTGGTACAAAGGGAACCCACTCCCAGTACTATTTATTTGTGAAAAAGACAGAACTGTCATTGTTGTCGTCCTAATTAAATAAATTAAAAAGTTTAATAAGTTAAGTTTGATATAAAATTTAATTATACAACATTTACTACATTAACGCCCGGTTTTTGAAACACTGATCATCGTAGAAGTTATAATAAATAATAATAAACGTTATTCAGAAAATGCTTAATTAAATTTAAATTTATTTCTGACCACACTAGGTAATGCCTGTCCTATGGGGTTAGTTCTTCACGATTTCTTCACTTCGAAAATACTGATTAACTTACAAATAATCACTTAATATATAAAAAAGAGAAAAAGCATTCGTAAGAATTAAACAGAACCGTTACAAATGGTAAGAGTAGTCACTTTCCTGTTCAAATTACATGTTATTTTTTTATTTAGTTAGAATAGCACAAAAATATAATAATAATAAAACAAAATAAAATAAAATAAATATAATGAATTAAATGAATGGCAAATATGTGCACGAATGCGGGTAAGTTTGATATGTGTGAATGTTCAGTAGTTGAGGTGTGGGTTATTTTATTGTGCTTACGTTTTAGTTTTGGTGTTGGGCGAAAGTTTTTGATTAATAGTAATCTTGTTACATTTTTACTGACTTCTAACTACATCCTCTGATTCATCGTACGTCCAATTTAAGAGCGAATGTAGCCTCTTTGTTTTGAGCAGCACCACCCCAAGAATGTATATAGTAATAAATGATTGATTGGCATAAAGAAAAATATGCCAACTTGAGTATTTTATTGTCAGCACCCTCACAAAGACTCCTAAATGTTGGCATTAATTTTCTTACCTTTTTTGAAATATCTATATATGTGTTTTAAAAATGAGCTTCTCATCAAGTATTATTCCTAAGTACTTCTACGTGTTGACTCTTTTTATGTAAATGCAGTTACAAATGGAACTTCTATTAATAGCTGGACAATCCTATAGATAAAAAGACCGTCCTAAAGATACTTACACCCCGTATGTATCTTTAGGACGCTCATATTAATCGGAGCTGAGGACAAGGTTTTATGGAAGCAAATATATTTAGTCTTATCCATGTTGAGTGTCAAGATATTTTTACATAACCATGTTGAGACTAAGGAGAGACCGTCTTCAGCTCTTCTACAAACTTTGGACCAAGACAGATCATGAAAAATAAGTGCTGTGTCATCAGCATAACAGATCACTTCGACATTCTGCATAGGAAGCGATATTAAATCATTCACATAAAATAAATAAAGTTGGTCCAAGGGTATGCTTTGGTATCGGTATGCTTTGGTGTACCACCTTGTGGTACACCAAAGCATACCGATTTTACACCACTCATTGGATTACTAATCTTAACGCACTGTTTTCTGTCTAATGGGTAGCTAGAAAACCACTGTAATGCAATGCCTCTTATACCGTAGTATTCCTCCAGCTTTTTTTAAAAGACACAGTCCCGACACATACTCCGATACAGTCCCATCTAAATGAGATGAAATTACCTCTGTGAGAAGACAGACTGCATCTTCAGTTGATTTATTTTTGCGGAAGCCAAACTGTCGAAAGGAGATACATACGATTCTTTCCAAGATTTTGGAAATGGTTGCCATTAGGGAAATAGGGCGATAATTGCTCGGGTCATTGATAGAGCCAGTTTTGTAAATGGGTACTACCCCTGAAGTTTTCTAAATACTTGGAAATATACCCGACTCTAAGCTATGATTGAAAAGAGTTGCGAGTGGCATCGCTATTGTCGGTCCGATTGCTTTAAGTGTTCTGTTATTTATATTATCAATGCCAGTCTGCCCCACGTATTCTAGGGGGGGGGGGGGGAATACCGCTCGAGTCAAACGTAGCGGGCTCACTTCACAACCACTTCCATTATCGATCATGCGGGGACATCTGTTCACAACTTCGCAATAGCTTATGATCTGACACAACTGGTCAGCAGATTGGGAGGAGATGCGGTCATTCTTTGCGTCCTACACAAAGGAGCAGATGCTTCTCGTTGGATGATCCAGAGGCCGTTGCTGACTCTGTCACCGATGTGGTCCTTCAGGGTATGGAACATTTTATTCCATTTTCTGCAATACCCATCGGTGGCAAAACCCAGACTTGGTTTGGTCGTTCCTGCAAGACAGAATTACGCCGATATTACCGAGTGGGAATGCTACCGAGCCTGGGCTGAAGCTTCGGCGTCTAGTAATGTAAAGGCGCATTAAAAAAGAAGTATAACTCTGCTTCTAGGTCCTTCAAAAGCGTTATTGCTAAAGCAAAGTTAGAGCACATTAGCAGAATTGGCGAGAGATTGGCTTGTCTCCCATCGGGAACACGTGCGTTTGGGTCTCTCGCCAAAGCAGTCTTAGGGAATTTCTGTAAGCTATCTTTTCCACCCCTGCACACGAAGGATGATACGTTGGCCCACGCCGCGAAGGAGAAAGCCGATCTTCTGGGCTGTCTCTTCGCGTCCAACTCGACTTTGGATGACTATCAATCCCCCAGTGCGACGCTACGATGCCAGAGGTAAAATTTCGGTCAAAGTGCAGGTCGCAAAGCACTTTTTTCCTTGGACATTCACAAGTCGAGTGGGCCCGATTGCATCCCTCCGATCGTGTTGCAGAGATGTGCTCCAGAGTTTGCACCGGTTTTAACGCGTATTTTCCGGCACTCCTATACTTTAGGCTTAGTAGTTTAGAAATCATGGAAGGCCGCTTTAGTGCACCCGATCCCTAAAAAAGAAAACCGCTTGGATCCATCCAACTACTGTCTTGTAGAATATAGCTTGTTTTACAAGACAATGGAGTCTGTTATGAACTGCCCGCTCCAGCGGTACAGTTTTGCCAATGCTGGTGTTCAACAAGGCTGCGTTCTGTCTCTTACTCTGTTTCTTCTGCATATCAATGACATGTTGCAAATCAGCAACGTCCATTGTTATGCAGATGATATCACCGTGGATGTCTCGTACACTGGCCGATCTAACATTTCTCAGGAAAACGTCTACGAGAGCTGGAACAAGCTTGTGTCTGATATCGAGAATTTTTTAACCAAAGTCTCAGACTAGGGGTCGACTAAACTTAAACCCCAAAAAGACACAAGTTTACGCGTTAACCGTTTAAAAGTCGCCATTCTTCTTGACTCCTCATTTCGAGAACACTCCCCTTTCTGCCACAGCTAGTATCGATATGCTTGGCGTCGAAATCTCGAGCAACGTCCAGTTTCGAAGTCAGTAAGGGCAAATTGGCCTCAAGGAAGCTTGGTGTGCTCAGCAAGGCGAGACATAGGGGCAAATGTAGTCCCACATGGATGGTGCTGTTCTCACCACTGGGCGGGAGCCCCCTATTACCAGCTTCTTGCATTTGACCGCATTCAAAGTAGGGCGGCTAGGGTTATCGACGGTCAATGTCTTTCCGATCGGCTTGATCCTTTGGCTCTGCGTAGAGATGTTGGATCACTCTGCATCTTCTACCGCGTTTATCAAGGGGAGTGTTCCGAGGAATTGTTTTGATTAATCCCGGTGGCTAAATTTCACCATCGGACTTCACGCCAGAACCAAAAATTTCATCCACACCACCTCAATGTCCAGCGTTCCACAACAGAGCGATTTTCAAGGCATTTCTTGCCTCACACAACCACTCTGTGGAACCAACTGCCACCGGCGATCTTTCCGAACCGTTATGACCTGGGAACCTTCAAGAAGAGAGCAGACTCTTTCTTAGAATAGAGACTTGCCATGCTAACTTGTCGAACTTGTCGTCGATTAGATTTTCATGTCAATGGAGCCCTATTTCACCTTCGCCCTGTTACCTCCTCATAGCACATATTATGGCCTTTGAGATCGGTATTATTCCGGACCCTGTACTCCCTTTACACAAGCGACATCTCTAGAACAAGAGAAGCGTCGAAGTTACAAGTCGAATGTTTTTATTAACGAAAAATGAAACCGACTTCAAATATCTCGCTTTGTATTCATTTTATAATTGACTAGCTATTAATTGCGTCTTCGCCCCTGCGGCCAAAGGGAATTAACAATGAGTTTTTTATTTTATACCACAACCAAATTGGTTCACTCAGTCTAAAGTTCTGAGGTAAAAAAATATAGTCGAATTGAGAACCTCCTCCGTTATTGTCGGTTGAAAAGAATCATTATGCATGCAAGTCCATTGGTTAAAGCTTTTGTAATCCATCCCGCACCTTATTTAACCGTGAATTAAAGATTATGCTGACTTATCAATGTAATAGACAATCCGGACGATACATTAGCAAACGTGATTAATAATTTGAGTCACCTTCAATTCCAGTAAGATATTCGCCACACATTGCAAAATATTAAGAGACTAGTGACCCGCCCCGGCTTCGCACGGATTTAATGTATTATACATATAAACCTCTCTTGAATTACTCTATCTAGTAATTAAAACGCATCAAGATCCGTTGCGTACTTATAAAGATCTAAGGTAGTAAGGTGGGGCGTACTTATAAAGATGGAGAAAATGTAATATAATGAAATTTGTATAAACAATTACGATACAATTAACATTTCTACATATTTAGCTTCTGGGTTTAATATCTATTTCTTCAATCGAGTGTTGTTAAAATAATGCCAAAAGGACAATGGCATCCATGAGGAAACCATATAAGTCTTAAATTTGTATTAAGTATTTTCGAGACAAATGGACGAATAACTCAATAACACGCCAACCGATTTCGATGATTGTTTTGTTTAATGGAAAGGAAGCACTTAAAGGCCAGTTAGATAAGACTACGGTTTGGGCCTGATTATGGGATTTTTGACAAAGTAACGGAACTTATTCTTAGGAGCAAATTAACGGTACTTGGCCGAATTTTTTTATAGGCTATCTGGATACTTGAGTCACCTTTATGGTCAAGTAATTGTCGTAGTCGAATGTGATGATCAATTGAATTTCTTAACGGTTTATAGTAAAGGTGCGAGCCGTTTTCTCATACGAGCAGCGTCTTTGCTAGGTTTACCCATGTTTTATAATACCTAAGTATTAATTATTCAATTAAATCACTAAAAATAATCTAATTTGGATACGTGACATTCAAATACATCCGAACATTTGCAGCATAATGTGAAGAAGAACAACCAGAACAAAGAAGCCAATGAGGTTGTCTCAGGCACATCTCGTATTAAATTTGGCATTTTTCTAAAAAAATCAAATAACTTTGACCAGATAAGGTTCCGGAAAGATCCAATGAAGGAATGATCTTCCCATTAATATAATTAATATATAATATTCTAGCGGACTCGTCATACGTTATCCTGTAAACGCGACTGAAATCCGAAAAACAACTTATAAATTAATAAAAAAATGAAAAAAAGATGTGGACCGAATTGTGAATCTAAACCATTCTGAAATCAACCTGAAGGCATAATTTCATTAAAGTCGGTCCAGCCGCTTAGGAGGATTTCAGTGACATACACACGTACAGAAGAAACTATAATTATATAATAAAAAAAAAAATATATATATATATATATATATATATATATATATATAAAGATTATCATTCTAATTATTTATTTTGAGGTGGTGTGGTAAGACCCCTCTTCTCGAACTCGGATTTGAGTGTTGCCACCTGTGTAAATTGTGTATGTTGAAGTAATAGACATTTTTGTTTCTGTTCGTTTTGGTTTGGGGTTGCTATTGTGGCAAAATGGAAAAACAATGTCAAAAATGGCGGCCAAGTCAAAGAAGCGGCTGTCTAAAATAGAAAATAAATTACTCAAATTGGAAAAATTAGAACTCAGTGATGTTATTTGTTCTATTTGCCAGTCTATACTTATAGAACCTGTCACATTACCATGCTACCATGATTTTTGTCAGGGTTGTTTCAATGGCAGCATAGAAAATAATTCTTTGTGTTGTCCTCTATGTCGTTTACGTATTGGATCTTGGCTGCGATCAGCAACAAAACAAAAGAATTTAGTAAATTTAAAGCTCTGGGAATATATAAAACAAAAGTTTGCAAATGAAATAGGCAAAAAGTTAAAAGGGGAAGACTTAAAATTATCGCAAGGTAAGTCGCTAAGTTGAAAAATGCAAGTTGCTTGTTTAATTAATTTTAATTTTTTATTTATAAATATTTTCAGATACCACCCCACTACGATTAAGTGCACCAGGTGAAATCAGATTAGAATATGAAGCAGAATTGAAGAGATTGAGATCTGAACGTCTAAAACTTGAACAGAAACACTTGGCAGAAACAGAACTTCTTATAAAGTGTGTTATTTTGTTTGGGTATTAAACACATACAACAGTTATAAATGTATGAAAAGAAAAACATGCTATCATATTTTATTTTTAACTCTACTTTATTAACTATAATGGTAACAGCTTTGATAGAATTCCAAGGGTTGTTGGTTTGGTTGATGGTTTGAACAATATGAATTATTTATAAAGTTGTCTTTAATATTACTTGTAAATAAAAAACTTTAAAAATAGTTAAAACATCAAAGGTTTGTATTCAGCCAAGGATTTTTTTTTAATGTCTGTTTAATGAGGGATTCAATGAATTTCAGTGTTGTAGTGCTAAGTTTAGAAATTATCTATTATTTATTTATTATTAAAGCCATTCACTAAAACTGGGTCGGTCACTAACATATCTTTGTCTTCAAGGCATATGGAATAATATATTAGTATTGTTTCCATCTCATTGGTAAATAAGATTTCATAATTAGATATGTCATAATAAACACTGGTTTCTATTTGGTTTCACAAGACATACTCTGTTTAAAGTCATTTGTAAACAAATATTGCTTCTCTTAATCTTTGTACTATTATTTTGACATAAAATGGTTTAAAATGGTCATACATACAATCAGGAAACTGCAACTGGAAGAGAATGAAGCCCGGAAGAAATATTTGGACCGTGTGAAACAAGATGAGATTTTAGCAAAACAAATACAAGAGGAATTAACTGAAGCCACACCTAATATAACTATAAAAGACAGTCTAAGGAATTGTCCTATAAAACCAAGACTAAAAGCTAGAAGAATTGATTCCTTTTTATCGAAGTTACCAGGTCCAGTAAAGGAGTAAGTCTTTTTTTAATTAAAATCATATCATTCAAATTGAATAAATGATGTAATAAAAATGTCGCGAAAATGTTATGGAACATCTTGTGTGCGAGTCTAACTCGCACTTGGCAATTTTTTTATTTCTTGGCATTTGCGAATGAAGTCACAACATTTTATAGATATATATCCACTTGAATATATATATTCACCTTTATAAAAATCGTTTTGACTTTATGATAACATTTTTTATTTACACAAATTACACATTGACAGATACTAAGAATTTTGTTCCAAGTGGTAATCAAATCCATGACCGAAATATTTTTTCAATCACATCAACCTCAAAATGGTATTTAAGATATAAAAATATATACTATTACAGAAGTCCATTATTATCTGATGATAACATAAGCAATAATGGATCAACTCCAAGAGATATAACAACAAAATCGAGCGATGGGCCATCTCCGGAAATTCTACCTAACTATGGAAAAATACTCAAGAACATTTTAGACAAAAAGGTTAAAAATGGTTTTTGTGTTTTTAGTAAAGAAAATGGATCAAAAGTATTGATTATATTCAATTTTAGATATTTAATAATATTGTTTTTTTTTTTTAAATAACAAAGTGAAGTAATACGTTGGAAATGTGGAAGGTATTGCAAGAATTGAGTGTCAAGTATTATACAAAATATGTCATGATAATTTTATACCAGAATAGATTCTAATTAGGATGTCGTTATTAAATGTGAAATATTTTTAAAGCAGCCACAGTTATATGAGAATTAGTGAGTTGAATAAATTGCAGAAAAAAAGTTACCACTTTTCATCATCATCTTCACATTTTATTTTGACTACCTTATTTGGTCAATTTGTTTTTAGATTTATATTTTCCACTTTTTTAATTGGAAAATTAACCTCTCGAATTTTTTCAGACTGTTGAGGAATCAAATAATAATAAAGATCTAGGAACTGGCATTTCCCATGATAAAACTGCTATTAAATCTAAAAGCATGATGCAATCTTTATTAGTCTCCCTTCCATTACCATGTACTGGGATATTGCAACACAAAAGTAATGCTGTAGAAAATAGAAATATTGAAACTGGTAGTGTTGACTCCATGCAACAAGAATTATGTTATTTTAAGCCCATTGATGGATCAACACCCACTAGGTAAGAAGTGTAGTGAAAAATTTTCATCATTTTATTTTTGACCTTGCTAATACTTGAATTTGAGTAAAATTAGTTATTAAAAATCCTTATTAAAAATTAATTATTTTAAAAAAAAATTGCCTATTGTTGGACAAAAGTTTTTGCAATATGGAGGATGTTAATTAAGACCTTCACCTGAAGAGGTAAGTATCCAGGGCTTGCTTTTTTAAAGGTTGGCAACATAATTGTAACTCCTTGGATGTTGTAGATGTCCATGGGCATATTTGTGTGGATGGGGTTGAGTAGTAATTTCCAACAACCATTGCAACCTAGAAAGGTCTATTGTAGTATTCCCTTTGAAAACATTACTTATTACTGTAGAATGATATTATCCTGTGTTGTGAAGATTTTTTGATACTTAAATTTAATGTGGACAAACAACTAGATGTGGGTCACACAAATAGTTATGTTGTGTGGGAAACAAGCCCAAGACCCCCGGTGGCGATATTGATACCATGGCAACTGCATCACGGTCATTCTCAAGTATAATTTATTAAATACAAGAGCCCAGATTTATCAAATGAGAGTATCATACTCTAAACAGAACATTTGACACAGATTTTTTTATACAGTGTGTCGTTACCATCGCGACAATAAATGAACACACATAGAGGGGATAACTTTTTAAATTTGTACTAAACATTTAAATTCTTTAAACATCAATATTTACAGAGTTATTAAATTTTCCAAAACAAAGAATTTTAGAACATCCTAACCTATAAAAGCGTAACGTAAAGTTCATTTGTAAAGGTCACAAAGCATATGAATGGGTGGAATGAATTTAAAAGAGACAAAACATACTGTTAGAAGGAGAGGCTTGTAATGCGACGCTGTGGCGCGAGTTGTATAGTATGTTACAAATTTTGTTTCTTTTTTATTTTATTAGTTTGAAAATTTTTTTTTTAATTATGGATTTTTTTAACGTTAATATTTTTTTATGATTATTGGTAAGTAGCGTTAGACGTGTGTTCATTTATTGTCGCGATGGTAACGACACGCTGTATAAAACAAGCAAAAAAAAACTACCGCACCAATGATTATTTTAAACATCAACCTTCATCACCTTCTCATATTTAATAATTGATTCAATATTTTCGTTTAATGCTATTTTCTCAAAATTTTAACATCATTAACTCTCCATCATTTTGTCATGCAATCTCTCCAAATTTCAAAGCTTTACAAAATAATCTTAGTTTTTTTTAACCTAAATATAGGAATTGGAATATATAATTAGTTTCAGTTCCGACAAAACATTCCCGCTTCGAATTCCAAGTCTGCGGGCAGTACAAAAGAATACTCCTGTCCAGCATAAAATCCCACCGAGTCGTGAACAGTATATGGAGGGATTATGCCATCTAAGAAATCTTTCTTTAGCACAAAAGTTGCCATCAGCCTTTGTACTTGCATTGAACATTTTAAGAGCCAAAAAGGTTTGTAGATTTTTAATGATATAAAAAAGAATGCTTAATTTCTAATGCTTGTTTTCAGGTTGGTAGTAGTAGGGCCATGCAACAGTATCTGCAGTTGCCTGAATGAAGAGGCATTTTTAATCTAATAATAATTTGCGTTTCTTCTAGTTTTGTACAGACTGGTAACTTTGAAGGTCGAAGCATAGCGGATAGCGGCGAGCAGGGGCGGCGGCAGCCTCTACAAGAGGCAAAAAGAATACAATTGAGAATGATGTATTCTTAGTTACTTATTTGTGAAAAGTAATCCCAGAACACTTGACGGCATAATTTCGCAATTATTATTTTATTAATTAAAACTACTTCATGCACACTTACTCGACAGACTGCCTGGCGGCTGTCATCCTATGAATGAATCATGATGTTTGCTTAAATGTTTACTTTTTTATTGGTCTGAAGATGCAGATCTTTAAGTGCATGTTGTATGTTGCAATTAAAAAGAAATTAAATATTTTATTGTTTACAGGATACAACCAAAAAATCTAACACAAGATCACGAACTAAAAGAAACACAATAAGACCATGTATTACTCCAGACCAACAAACTATGATTAAAGGAAATGGCCCAATCAGGAATAAACAGAATGTTCTAATTGATGGGATAACCAAGATAAATACAGAAAAGTCTCTAAGACGCACCAGGTCAATGGGAAGTATGTCTAAAAACGACAATGAAGTCACACCTAAAAAGAAATTTAAGGAGAGAAAAGTGTGTTCTGAAAAAAAGGTTCAATTAAGAAGTAATTTAAAAAAGCCAAATGGAAATAGTGAGATTGAAAGCCCACCTCTAGTTATGGAAACTATAAATAATAATAAAATAAATTTAGCTGTAAAGAATTTGTCTAGTCCTTTGGAGAATTGTGATGTTAAGAATATTTTGCGGGAACAACTAAGAATTGAGAAACTAATTGAACAAGAAAAAAGTGATTATGAGTTAGCTCAAAAGATTAATGCGGAATGGAATGGACGCAGGCAGTTGCGGCGAGCAGCAACAAAACGTCAAGTAACAATTAATTATGCTCTTAGGCCTGCAAAAAAAGTAAAGGTTTAACTTAGTATGTGTAATTTACAAGTTAATTTTAAAATTGTTTGTTTATAGAGATGCAACAGACACATTCTTATTTTTGAATATTAAAACCACATGTTTTGTAATATATTCCTGCCATTTATAAAATGTGTACTTGATATATATTTAAAACATTTTATCTTTCAAGGTACATTTTAGTAGTTATGATGCAACATTCGAAAAATTGATAACGGAAAATATGTTGTTTGCGGCTTATTTGGTCATATTTATTGGGCTGATTAAAAATAAAATATTGTGTCGAGTAATTATTCAAGTAATGAATATTAAGATATTAACGTTTACTTATTACTCAAACCCACCTCAATTACAATATGCTTATGTTTTAAGTAAGACAATATATTGATAATATATCATATAGGAAAGTGAATGTTAAAAAATTGTAGCTGAAGCATATTGACTGCATAATTTACGGGTATCCTCCTGGTACTATTGTAATACTGGTATATAAAACAAATACATGTATCAAGGCTATGATGTCTATTTAAATTTAGATGCATTATTTTAGTAGCAATACTTATTTATCTCTTTCTAATAACAGGGATATCATGTAATGACTAATGTTATACCTCTTTGCCTACTGTAATACTTATATGCTTTATTAGTATAAAGAATAGTTTGTGCTGTTGCAAAGTTGTGCATATAATGTCTATGTGTACATAAAATTTCATTTTATCAAGATGTAAGTTTAAAGTTTACCCACTTTCATTGACAGCAACTATCAATTTTATATATAAAATAGTTATGCGACGCTGCGCTATACCGGGTCTAGAAAACGTTTATTTTATTACATTATGTATTAGAAATGACTTTTCATATTTGAGACATGAATACTACTAATATTTATAGTGAAATTTGTGGTAGCAATTGTCATAATGGTATCCTGGCAAAGCTCTTATTACAGTAGTAGCCTAACTGTAATAGCATCTCTTTCTTTCTCCAAGTGTTCCTAAAGCTACAAAACTAATTCAAAATAAAAAAAAATCAGCCGTAAGACGTCCAATGATGAACATAGGCCGCCTCCTTAGAGCTCCACAACGAACGAGACTGCCATTTGTATCCACCGGTTGCACTCGACTCTTACGATTTCGTCGGTCCAACTAGTGGGAGATCTACGATAGGGAGATCTTCCAACGCTACGTCTTCCAGTTCGTGGTCGCCACTCGAGAACTTTTATTCCCCATCGGTCGACAGTTCTTCGAACGATGTGGCTTGCCCATCGCCACTTCAGCTTGCAAATCCGGAGAGCTATGTCGGTGACTCTGGTTCTTCGGCGAATTTCCTCGTTCCGGATTTTGTCGCGCAAAGAAACTGAGCATTTCTCTCACACTAGTTATACACCCTTGTCTTCAGGCACTGTGGAATATTGGACGAAAAAATATCGCTTAGTTTTCCGAACGCTGCCCATCCGCGTTGGTTTCTTCGAGGGACCTCTATCAAAGTAAGACCTGCCTTACTGGACCGTTTGTCCAAAGTAGACATAGTGGACCAAGAACTTTGAGAGTATTGTTCCCAATAATAACTGGTACGGGTGCGACATGGACATTTGACATAATTTTCGTCTTGCCCATGTCCATTTTAAGACCCACCTGTTAGAAAACGTTATAGTAGGTCACCGAGCAAAGGTTTGAGGTCTCTTCGTCGTCATGAACAGTTTTGGAGAAATGAGGTCTCTCTTTCTCACGCCTCAGCAGTTGGATTGCTTTCGTTCATTGAAATTTTTAAACCACATTAAATTTGCATATAATCAACAATTAATGTTACGGCCCATCCAATGTTACCAGCACAGTTAACATTCTTTAAATGTGGTCTTTTTAAAAGTTTAATATTTTATAGAACCAAAAATTCTCAAACATTTGATATGTCAATAAGATCCCTATCCCAAGACTTGTGTATGGTAAATGGTTTTTTATACAAAAATATTTTTAATATTTATTTTTATGTAATATATATATTTACATCTTTGGTGCCAGGAGGAAGAGCCATGCTTTTAATGTAGCTGTTATTTAAGTGAAGCTTGTATTAAATAGATTTTAAAGTTTTCAACTCTATATAATTATATTACAAAATTAGTAGAAAACATAATAGAAATGATACATTTATATTACATTGAAGGCTAAAACGAATATTCGTTCACTAAAGTGATGTTCAAAATGAACAATTTGTTTTTTAACTGAAACTACTAATACGCAAATCTTAAATGTGTCTGATATCACAAAGAATTCATACACTGCTCACAGCTACATTAATGTAGCATGATATCTGTATTTTGTTTTTTGTCCATTGTTAATTCTTGAGGTTAATAATACATTTTTCAAGTTGCTATCTATAGAAAAAATACTATGAATATGATTATTTTTATAAATGCTTGCTGTGATATGCCACAAGTTGAATGTAATTCCTTTTGTTTTTTTGTTAATCTCATAAATTTTTTTCATACTTGTGGCAACTGAATTTAGTTGTGATTTATTTTTCTGTAGTTAATATGATTATCTGTGTAAATAAAACATTTTATTCAATGAAACAATTTTTAATTCATTTAGATAAGATGTTTCCTGAATGTCCCAGATATTCTCACAATCAATATGGTTGATGCTGTTCCTTGATTTCACTTGCAAAATACTTCTGCACCTAAAAAATCATTATTTCTATTAATAAACAGTTTGATATACATAAATGAATAATATGTATATTTATAATAAGCATTAACTGTTAAGCTATTTTTTTTATTATGTAATAATATAACATAGTGAAATATCATTCACAAAATGTTTTAAAACGTTTTTGGAGCTTGAAATTATATACCTGTACATTTTAAACCTTGAGGTGTGTATTCAAGTATAATATTCATCAAATTTTGGATCATCTCTTCAGATAGTATGTTGCCATACCTGCAAATTGTAAAATAATTCTATGAAAACAAAAACAAATTAGAAAGGCAAACAAATGAAACAAAAATGCACTGAAATAAAAAGTCTTGAATTTTTTACATTTAAGCTCAAGTAGACATCACTGGCCATACCATTTCTCACTCACCACTTTAAAGCAGCTGCCCAGGTCATAAGCACAGCCATCTCAATTCTTGGAAGATGAATGCAAGCTGCAGGCATGTCTTGCACTTCACTCACACAGATATCATGGATCTGTTCATCCTTTTCTTATTTACAATTTGGCCTTCACTCACTGACAAAAATGAACTTCCATACCCATTATTCCAAATATCATTAATAAAAACATTTGCTTTCAATCAAAAAAGTCAGATCTTGTTTTTTTTTTAATAGGAAATCATTACTTTCAATCATACCTCAAGATGACATATGTTACACCCACCCAAGCTTTTCAAAATTAAAACATCCATCTCATTTTTCATACATCTTTATTTATCTAAGGTCCCTCATCACACCACATCACAATGTAACACACAATACTAATAATCAACTTACATTTACTACAAAAAGAATTATATTTATACATTTGGAAAGTGCAAATTTATGTGTGATAAAGTTTATCACTATACATCATTATAAAGATACCTTTTATAGTATTATAATCAAAGTAAAACTTAAATATACACCCCTCCATACAAACGTCTCTGGTATTACTGCCTTAGAGATGTCTCACCTCATGTTTGGGGCTTATTGTTATTATTCCATCCGCTGCTTGAGCCAGTTGGACCAGACCCGCTCCCGCCACTACCTCCCCAATTCCCTTGCCCGTTAGACCAATTTCCTTGATTCCAGTTGCCTTTACCATTATTCCAACCCTGGCCCCCACCTTGGTTCCATGATTGTGGTGGTCCATTTTGACCCCAATTTTGGCCATTCCAATTTTTGCCAGTATTGCCTTGTGGTGGTCCACCTTGCCAGTTGTTTGGCCCAGAGTTTCCAGGACCGCCTAAAAATCCACCCCATCCAGCCTGATTAAGGGCCGCAGCTACAAGACTTATTGGTAAATTAAAATTAGCTGGTGGCCCTCCACCATTTGGATTGATCCCCAAGTTTTGCATGTTAAGAGTATCTATGTTACTATTACCTCCATTGCTAGAGCCACCAGGTGGCCCTGATCGATTTCCATCCCAGTTTGGTCCATAAGAGTCATCTTTCCAATTTTGATTAGATTTGCTTTTAATTTTCGGGGCTGCACTTGAAACTGACACTGAAGCACCTTTGATAACATGATCTTCTCCGCATAAACTTTGAGCCACTTCTGGATCTAAGAATGTAACAAAACCAAATGCTCTAAATGGTCGAGGTACAAAAACATCTGTTACTTCTCCAAACTTCGAAAAGTATTCTCGGAGATCATCTGCAGTCATATCTTCGGTACATCTACCAACAAACACTTTACACGGCATTTGAGGGACGACACCCTCTTTAGAATTTGGAATTCGCACATCCACCCATCTACCCTCAATATTATGCCTTTGTGCTAAAGCTCTCATTTGGGACGCGTACGTGGCAAAGCGTATAAAACCGAAACCCTTAAATGAACCATTTTTATCTCTCTTTAACTGTACCATTACGACTTCACCAAATTGTTCAAAATATTGTTTTATAGATTCTTCAGTCGATTTCCATGGTAAGCCAAGGCAAATTAAATCGGAGCAAGTTAGTTTTTTTTCCAATCGTTTAGTTTTGGCTGCTGAATTTTCTGGCGACACATCTTCCATTTTACGCTTGTTTTCTTTAGGAAATACACAGACATATAAGTTTTTTCCCCAGCCGGCTTCACTTGGAGGGTGCAACTTGCCATCGTTTAACCTGATACCTCTGATTGATTTTGTTTCGGGATGCCGATATTTAAGTCCACACGCACCCGGGAATTGTGCTACAAGTGTTGAAAGAAGAAGGGTGCCATCGTGTTCACAAGGGATTTCTACAGCGTTAGTATCATCTTCATCTTCACTTACTTTTATATAATCAAAAATGTCTTCATTCTTCATTTTTGAAGTAAATATTTTGAACTATAATCCTATTTTGTGACCGTCAATATTTCTACTACCAAACCAAGCTTTTAAATTGTCAACTTTTAAACAAAATGGCTACAAGAAAAAACTATATGCAGATAAACAAAATGGCTACAAGAAAAAACTATATGCAGATATACAAAAGTACTCTTTGACTATATGGTACAGTTACAGAACTAAGTAACTTAACATCAATTTATTAATACAGATTATATATAAAAAGGTATCGTACTTATTTAAGTTTCCATTTTTAATAAAGCAGCCAGTGCTGATTCAAGATGTACATGGAGCTTGGTTAAGATTATTTTATAATTTAAGCTTAAAGTAATATTATACACTTCAATAGATGTGTAATTAACACATTTAATTAAAACATCGGCATAATGTTATAAAGCACTTATTACATTAATAATTGTATATGTTTTGACTAAGATGTTTCTGCCAGCAATGGCATTTTGCAGTAGCAAAGGCAATTAATTAGTTAATTTGTTCTGTACTGTATAAATTGTAATGGCTATAAATAAGGAAGGAAAAATATACATATGGAAATTTTCTGCAATAAAAAGAATATTCGGAAATCGACCAGGTTATGTAGCTCTGGGTGTATATTTAAAATTCTTCCGCCCTAAGCTATAATACGAATGTATTATTTCTTACACAAATATAGAAACTCGATGCGGTTCTAAAAATATTAATTTGTTCTGTTTTGTTCTGTACTGTATAAATTGAATTGAAATTCGGTTACTTCTTCACTTCTTCACTTCTTCTTCTTCTTAGGCAGTGGGCGGTCCATATGATATCGCCATTGACACAATTGTGATAAAGAAACAAATGGTTTCCAATTCCAATTCCAATTTTATATTTATGGCTCCATCAATACCTATATAACTTGATGATTCTGCTAATGTCAAGGTTGAATAAAACAAAGTGTTAGTAATATAATTAGCCAGTAATATTGACTTTTATACAGTAGGTAGACAATTACACGTAAAACAAATGGTTTCAAATAATAGTAGGTCGTTGGACATTTCTAGAGCAAGAGCTCATGGCCGCCAGACGTTACTTATTTTCTGAGTAACAAAATATATTGTACAGAGTAGTGTTAGAGTATACTCTGAAGGTAAACATACCTGCTAGCTGGGGCCGGCTGCCAATTCACAGGTACTAGGTGTACATTCAAGGTACATAAAACATCGCTCACTTTTCTTAAATTCGGAGTGCTGATTTTCATATATATTTTTAATTTTTTTATTAGAAATTTAAAATCAATATTGCCAGACAGTCTTCGTCGGCGGTAATTTCTGCCAGACGCTTTAAAATTTGCGAAAACATGACGTAAGTTTACTTACAGTCCGAGTGTTGATTTTTCTATATGGTATTTTAGAAACTATTTCAACACTATTTGTATGCAGCCACACAAATTGTAGGGGCCAAATATCCGCCAGACATATTTAAAATCTCGCCGTGAGTATGAACGCGCACGTAACTTTTTGGCGATTTTATATCACAGGCCCATTAAATTAATGTTGTAAAATTTCTGAATAATGATTAACCATATTTTAATGCTCAATTATAAATTTCGATCACGTTATGAAGGGCGGCGAGTAAAATGATTTTACTCGTACATCGAAATTTTTGAAAGGTGTACGTCCTAGGCTTAAAACCGCGGCTGGTGACAAGAGAGCTGGTTCTTTTCTCGCTCAAAGGTTAATAAACATAACTATTCAGCGAGGAAATGCGGCTAGCGATCTTGGCACTATGCCGCGTGTACTAGGTTTATTAGATAAGATGTAATTTAATATTTATGTAAAAGAATTCAGAGAATTGTAATTAATGGTGCTAGTTCTTCTGGGTCGATGATACGGCCCAGTCCTTTTCTCGTTTATGTTAATGATTTACCCTACTTAGTAGGGAAAAACATGACATAGTGTTGTTTGCCGATGATACTTCATTAGTCTTTAAAAACGAACGACGGATTGTAAATGTAACACTTGACGAGGTAAATCATGCTATGTCAGAAATAGTTCATTGGTTTAATGCTAATAATTTACTTTTAAATGGCAATAAAACTAAATGTATAAAATTTTCGACACCTAAAATTAAACACTTGGGTGGTACCAATGTACTTATAAATGGGGACGAGTTAGGCCTTGTGGATACCACTGTTTCTTGTTTCTTGGAATAACTCTTGATTCAAAGCTTCAATGGGGCCCCCATATATCCAAACTTGCGAGCAGATTAAGTTCGGCAGCATATGCTGTAAAGAAAATAAGATGTCTGACTGATAATACAGCTAGAATCGTTTATTTTAGTTATTTCCATAGCATAATGTCATACGGTATTTTGCTATGGAGGCATGCAGCCGATGTTGAAACAATATTCATTTTGCAAAAGAGGGCCATAAGAGCAATTTACAATCTAAATTTGAACGTATATCTGAGAGAGAAATTTAAAGAAATATTAGAAAAAATATTTTAACCTTGGCCTCTCTATATGCAGCGTGTCTTTACAATTGCTGAATAATCAATAAAAACGACACGCTGTATAATCGGAATCTCGGAAACATTTTTCATGAAATTTAGTATGTGTGTAGATTCGGGGGCGAAAAATCGATTTAGCTAGGTTTCATTTTTAGAAAATGTCCTTTTATCCCTGTTTTCAGGGTATGAAAAATATCATTCGAATATGATGGTAAATTTCGCCGCAAAAAAAATGTTATAATAACTCGGTCGGTAATCGGGCGGCCCCAAAACAGCCGCGGTTCGTATCACGATAATTTACACACTTTTTTTTTTTTTTTTTTTCTGTACCAGATCATTGCTTTCTTCATTTTTTATTTTTTGTCGATCCAGATGATTTTGTTCTTTTTTCCCTTTTTTTTAAAGTTCTTTCTTTTGTGAATAACACCTGTTTATATTTTCTTATTATTACGTCGATAAGATCGAAAAATATTATGCATATTTCATTACTCAGTAATTTATAACTAAATGTAATTTCCAAAATACACTATTTACCAAAAAAGAAACAAACCGAGCAAAGCTCGGTCTTCTAGGTGCTATAGATTTAATGTTGTAAATATTCGATAAATAAAAAAATATTGATACATTTTAATTATTTTCCTAATATTATAATTTGTTTAGTTTAGCAAAGAAGGAAAAAGGCAAACAAGGGACGAGAAAGACGGATGCACCTCCAGACATAGTGTAACAAGTCCGACGCGAATATTGTCAGCAGCAATGTTATCGTTACACCACACTTCACTTTTTTGTTTTCCTTTTATCAATTTTTTCTATGTGAGAAAGGTGCTAAATGAGCTGGCGGTTCACCTGATGAAAAGTGATAACCGACGTCCATGGTCATTTGCAACATTCGTAGTGTTGCAGATGCGTTGCCACATTTTATTAATTTGAGCCCCCGCTACCTGACTGATCACTCTCTTAAACAGATTTTTAAAATTTTCAATTTTGTAAAGGACCTTTCATCGGCAATTTTCTAGAAAATGCAACTTTAAAACTCTGATTTGCTTAAATAAATCAATACATACCATACATGTAAATGTCACTATTTAATTCGATTTTACGCTTTAAGTTATTAAATAAATTATTGCGTAAAAATCCGAATACGTCAGCAAACGTTTTTATCTCCTCAAATATGTCCTTTAAAGAGGCTAGCGTTTGATCTAAAATTCTGAAAAAAAATTTCATCACGGTGTTCATATGGAAAGTAGGCAAGTCTTTTTTAGGACGAATCATATTTATTGGTGAGAAACTTGTTTCTTCGTTGAGAGCCTGAGCCACATTTTCTCAAAGTGCTCATCTATGCGATAGTTAGTGAAGTTAATAATAAATTTTTCCAAAAAAACTTACACAGAAATACCTACTCACTTTACTAAGAGGTATGATGTCGTCATTTACTGTAAAGGCATGACATACGTGCCAGCTCTTCCCTTAACAGTTTTCGTAGTAGGATCAAGAGACATTATTAACAAATGTTTGTAGGTATTTATTTATAATGGATGTAGGTATGTATTTGTTTATATTATTTTAACTTTGTATATATGGATGTATTTGTATTTATGTGTGTGTACAATAAAGAAATCTAACAAAAAAACAGATTTGAATCTTCATTGTAGGGCTTTGCATCATTTTGCTTAAAGCTTAATTTCGTTTCAACTATCAAAACAAATTGTAATTGTAGAAATAAATATTTAATTTTGAGTGCTCAGTGCAAGCTTTGTGAGATGTTGTTCAATGCCATTTCGAAAAATGATTATCAGCTATTTCCAGCAAAGCATCAAATATATTTTTAAGATGGTACCGTAATGTTTTGACTGCATCGATTTATCTAGACCATCGCGTTACACTAAAGCTTATAATTTGAACTGTGGTAAATGTTTGCAAATGATTAAGCACCTATTTGTAGATGATCGAAATAACCGTTATTGAATTAGATTAAAGATATTCACAGTTTCATGCGTAATATTTGCTGCATCATTGGAAGCCAAATTTAGACCATTACCTGAGCAAGGAACGTTAAATGCACTATACTATTGATTTCCGAAAGTTTTCTGTAATCCGTTGTGTTTATGTTGCTGTAGATACTTAACAATTACAAGTATAATTTTTAACAAAAAAAACCGACTTCAATCAGAAAATTAAAAACATTCTTAATACCTATAACATTCAATGATGGCACTCGATTTCTCTGGGATGCTATCATCAGATCCGGGTTTCCTTATCAGGGTACCACCCTCGGGATATCTCCTTTCCGTCAAAAAAGAAGAGCGAATCATCAAAATCGATTCATAAACGACGAACCCATATCCACGAACACATAAAAAAAATATATATACCTCCTTCTCCTTTTTTGAAGTCGGTTAAAAAGTTCCTTCGCCTGTAATAGTATTTTTAACGCGAAAACAATTTCTTTTGGAGAGGCCCCTTTACTGGCGAGCGGTATTAATGGGATTCCTTGAA